CTCTTGTTTCCTGGTTGGTTCGCTGCTGGGACAGTGGGGCCCATAGCTTGTCTCTGGATGGTAATGAAGCTCGCCAACTAGGCGCTATTGCCAGAGATCCAGCTATTGATAGAGGAATTAGTCGGTGTTCGGATGAGGCTGCCTCCCTTTGGGAACGAGTGTTAACAGCCGTGAAGGAAAAGTATCCCTTCAAAAATGGCTTGAAGATTGCAATGAAAAAATGGGATACAGTTGAAAAGGGTATCCAGTATTTGAGGGAAATAGGCGTGGTGGAAATGTTGTACGACCCTGACTTTGTTCCTAACCACCCACACCAAAACCGCGACCCTGAAAAAGTGAGGACAACGCCTGAGATATGGCAGAAAATCGTGACAACAGCGCCGGACAAATATGCCTCTACACTGATGTCAGCGTGTGACAGATTCAACGAACAACAGAGAAGGCCCTTAGTTTATGAATTAATTGTTACGCTCCAAAACTATGAATAATTGCTGCTCCCAATTCATGCTGCCGTGGCTGCTATATCAAAAATGACGGAGCAAGCGTCTCAACTGATTAACCGTGACAAACCTGTAGCAGTATCAGAGACGCGTGATGAAGATCAGGATAATCAAACGAGTGTAGCAAAGGATGTGAAGGAGGTGAAGGAGATGATGAAATTTTTGCGAGCCCACCTAACTAAAGACAATGCACCTTCCTTCCCACGTGCACCATCAAAGATCTCAACTGTTAGAGGCGAACGCTCTCTGACTCAAGTAAGGGATAATACACCGTGAATTGTCTTATGGTATTACCTACGTGACCATGGAGAAGACATGGGGAAGTGGCACGGTCAATCTACTCCTGTACTACGAGCCTGGGTGAAAGAATTGCAAAGCAGATCAACCACCAGTGCAGTTGCTCCAGTTACCACAGGTAATGAATAGAGAGGCCCTGCCCTCAGTCGGGGGGGAAAGGGATAATAGAGTATATTGGACTGTGTGGATTCGATGGCCTGGCACATCAGAACCACTGAAATATAAGGCACTGGTGGACACTGGTGCACAGTGCACTCTGATGCCCTCGAGTCACCAAGGGACAGAATCAATCCATATTTCTGGAGTGAGCGGGGGCTCTCAAGAATTGACTGTGTTGGAGGCTGAGATAAGCCTCACTGGTAAGGACTGGCAAAAACATCCTATTGTGACGGGCCCAGGGGCTCCATGTATACTAGGTATTGATTGTCTCAGAAGGGGGCATTTCAAGGATCCTAAGGGGTATCGATGGGCCTTTGGAATAGCTGCTGTGGACACAGACAAATTAAGCAGCTGTCTGTTTTGCCTGGCCTGTCAGAAGATCCGTCTGTTGTGGGGCTGCCTCGAGTAAAAGAGCAACACGTACCGATTGCTACAAAAGTGGTGCACAGGCGGCAGTACCGCACCAACAGGGATTCTTTGCTCCCCATTCATAAGTTGATTCGTCAACTAGAGAGCCAGGGAGTGATCAGCAAAACTCACTTGCCTTTTAACAGCCCCATATGGCCAGTGCGTAAAGCCAGTGGAGAATGGAGGCTGACGGTGGACTACCGTGGCCTGAATGAAGTCACACCCCCACTGAGTGCTGCTGTGCCGGACATGTTAGAACTCCAGTATGAACTGGAGTCAAAAGCGGCCAAATGGTATGCCACCATTGACATTGCTAATGCCTTCTTTTCCATTCCTTTGGCCAAAGAATGTAAGCCACAGTTTGCTTTCACATGGAGGGGCGTTCAGTATACCTGGAACCGTTTGCCGCAGGGGTGGAAACACAGCCCGACCATTTGCCATGGGTTGATCCAAACTGTATTGGAACAGGGCAGTGCTCCTGAGCACCTGCAGTACACTGATGACATCATTGTGTGGGGCGATACAGCAGAAGAAGTCTTTACAAAAGGAGAGCGAATGATCCAAATTCTTCTGAGTGCTGCTTTTGCTATTAAGCGAAGCAAAGTGAAAGGACCTGCCCAGGAGATTCAGTTCCTAGGCATAAATTGGCAAGATGGCCGACAGATGTGATTGACAAAATCACTGCTATGTCTCCACCCACTAGCAAAAGAGAGACACAATCTTTTCTGGGTGCAGTGGGCTTTTGGAGAATGCATGTTCCAAACTACAGCCTCATTGTAAGCCCCCTTTATTATGTGACACGAATGAGAAATGAGTTTACATGGGGCCCTGAGCAGCAGCAGGCTTTTGAACAGATTAAACAGGAGATAGCCCGTGCCGTGGCCCTAGGGCCAGTACGGACAGGACAGGGTATAAAGAACATCCTCTATACCGCTGCTGGAGAGAACGGTCCCACTTGGAGTTTGTGGCAAAGAGCCTCAGGAGAGACCCGAGGCTGACCCCTGGGATTCTGGAGTCGGGCGTACAGAGGGTCTGAAGAGCGCTACACTCCAACTGAGAACGAGATCTTAGCCGCTTATGAGGGGGTTCGGGCTGCTTCCGAAGTAGTCGGTACTGAAACACAGCTCCTTCTGGCACCTCGACTGCCAGTGCTGAACTGGATGTTTAAAGGAAAGGTTCCCTCCACCCATCATGCTACTGATGCCACTTGGAGTAAGTGGATTGCACTGATTACACAATGAGCACGAATGGGGAACCTCAGCCGTCCAGGAATCCTAGAGGTCATCATGGACTGGCCTGAAGGTAAAAAGTTTGGAACACCACCAGGAGAAGAAGTATCACGTGCTAAAGAAGCCCCACCATACAATGAACTACCAGAGAATGAAAAGAAATATGCCCTGTTCACAGATGGATTGTGTTGTATTGTGGGAAAGCATCGCAGATGGAAATCTGCTGTGTGGAGCCCCACACGACAAGTTGCAGAGGCCACTGAAGGGAAAGGAGAATCAAGCCAATTTGCAGAGGTAAAGGCTGTCCAACTGGCCTTAGATGTCGCTGAACGGGAGAGGTGGCCAATGCTCTATCTTTACGCTGACTCGTGGATGGTAGCAAACGCCTTATGGGGGTGGTTACAGCAGTGGGAGCAAAATAACTGGCAAAGAAGGGGTAAACCTATTTGGGCTGCTGAACTGTGGAAAGACATTGCTGCCCGAACAAAGACTGTAGTTGTAAAGGTGCGTCATGTAGATGCTCATGTGCCCAAGAGTCGGGCTACTGAAGAACAGCAAAATAACCATCAGGTAGACCGAGCTGCCAGAATTGAGGTGGTTCAAATAGACCTGGACTGGCAGAACAAGGGTGAATTATTTCTGGCTCGAAACATATGCAGTACCCCATGCTACCGCCCGAAACACCATTTGGGTCTCGAGAAACAAGTCCTGTGGCGACATGGCACCCCAGAAAGGATTGAGTCAGATAATGGGACTCATTTCAAAAATTCTCTTGTAAATACTTGGGCCAAAGATCACGGCATTGAGTGGATTTACCACATTCCCTATCATGCACCAGCCTCTGGTAAAATTGAATGATACAATGGATTGTTAAAAACAATGCTAAAAGCACTGGGTGTTGGAACATTTAAGCACTTGGAGAAGCATTTGGCAGAAGCCACCTGGTTTGTCAGTACCAGAGGATCTATCAATCGTGATGGTCCCAACCAATCCAGTTCCCTATATACCGTAGAGGGAGATAAAGTCCCTGTTGTACATGTAAAGAACATGTTAGGAAAGGCAGTTTGGGTTCTTCCAGCTTCTGGAAAGGGCAAACCTCTCCGTGGTACAGTTTTTGCCCAGGGACCAGGATGCACTTGGTGGGTAATGCAGAAGAATGGGGATGTTCAATGTGTACCACAAGGAAACTTGATGTTGGGGGAGTGCAGTTACTAATTCTATGTATATATATAAATGTATATATATAGCCATGCGTGTGTAATACATTGTAATCATGTTTTGCTTGTATATATGTATATATGTGTTAAGCATGATGTAACGATGTAGAATAAGGGGTGGAATGTCATGGTTCTATGTTTTTTTGTTTTTGTTTTTGCTTTTGGGTTTCAGTATTCCACATCAAAACATCATGTAGTGTACGGGGCATTAAAGTGTCACTGCCCCAGTCCCAGCAACCTATCCCTGTACGTTACAGCAGTCACGGGATCTGGCCCTTCCGGGTGGGGGGGCGCTCTCTTGCTGCCTTGCAGTGGGTGCTGGAGGTGCTTTCCTGGCCGTTCCAAGCTTTTCAGGTTTGAATCGGTCCCGGGAACTCTCTCTCTCTCATCTTGTCTGATTTATTAATCTCAATTTCAATTAAATTGTATATATTGTGTTATTTTGTATTCCGATATTATAGTAAAATAAGTTTTCCTGCATAGATTGTTGATGCTGCTCTTTTCCTCCCTTCCTTCCTTCCCATTTTTTATGGGACTGCGGTGGGGGGAAATGGCAGAGGCCTGCCGCCCCTGTCACGGACATAGATTGATCTGGTCAACTCCGTGACAACTGAGCTCATGGAAGGGCTGGGAATCGCAGGGCTCAGATGTGTGCCTGGGCTTCTGGGGTCAGTGAGGTTGGGTGAGCAGTGAGGTTTGGGAGGGACCGACTTGTTGGCCTTGAGATTGATGCCCAGCTCCTTGCTCGTCGCATTCTGTTCGGCTCGAGGTTCCGGACACGGCTTGCTCTTCTAAGCAGTGTGAGGACTGCGAGAAAGACTTTGTTGGATGCAGCAGGAAAGCACAGCCGCTGGTGGATGCCAGGGTCCGCTCCTGAGGCTCTTGTAGTTAACAAAATACGCAAGTTAGAGATGTAGTCAACAAATACGCAGAGCGGGGGCTGTCAAGGTCACCAGGCGTAACCAGGCGTAATCTGTGTGGGCCCCTTGCGTGGTCAGCTGAAAGGGGGGCTGTAACAGTCATCAGCCTCTGCGGGGGCTCCTTGACTCATAAGAAAACCATGATGAGACATGACAAGACAAGACATGCCACATGTCTATTGGACACAGATAACCGTAGCAAGGGTGATTGGTAGCACTGTGATATACGGGACAACTATAAGAAGAGTGTGTTGCTTGCAATAAACGCCATTTGCCGCTCAACACATTGGTGTCATAAAGCGTGTGATTTGGCCGGGGCTGTCTGAGCACTTCACGACGGGACATTATTCAGAGGTTGCCGAAGCAAAGGCAACAAGTGGTGACCCGACGTGATACGTGTCGTGTCCCAGTTGTGAATGTGCGACAGCTGGTTGCGAGACGGACGCAGGAACCCGCAGCGGTAAGGTGGCGGAAGAGCCGGAGGGACTGATCCCCCTGGGGCTGTGAGCACGGCCGTGAAGTTATCCCACAGCGGAAGACTTGTGGAAGGTGGAGGGCTGATCACCCTGGACAACCATGGCATCCGTCATTAAGGTACTGCACCAAGCTTGTAAAACTTACTGCGGAAAAACTGCTCCTTCTAAGAAGGAGGTGGCCGCGGTCCTTACTCTCCTGGAAAAGGAGGGACTGTTAAAATTTCCCCATGAGGTGTATGACCCCGGGAGGTGGGATTCGCTGACAGCGGCGCTTTCTCAGAAAGCTATGTCGTCGCAAAGGGCAGCGGAGTTAAAAATTTGGGGTCTGATTTTGGGGGCTCTAAAATCGGCGAGAGAGGAGAAGACCGCAGAAAACCTTGCCAGGGACTTGCTGGGTCTAGGTTCGGGTGGTGGGGAGCCGCCGCGGGCGGAAGGCTCCACCCCCTTTAGGGATCTGCCGCAAGACAAGACGGCGCCGCATACATCGACCGAGCCTGCAACTACAGCACCGAAAAAAAAGGAGGAAGAATCATCATCTCCGCCGACGGCTCCGCCCCCGTATCCTTATTTGTATCCTTCCTTGCGTAATCTCCGCCAGGGGGAGGACTTAGGGGGAGGGGATGAGGCTGAGCGGGTGGTGGCTACGTCACCCCCCCCCACCGTCCACTGTGGTCCCGCCTCCCCAGGTGGCCGCGTCTCCTGGTGGTCTGCCCCAGCAGGGTAATGGGCAGTATCAACCGGTATCAACCCAGGTATCTGGTCACAGATAAAGGAGGAAATGAGAGCGGAGGAGCTCTTGGGTGACCATAAGGCGTTCCCAGTAGAGGTCAGAAGAGAGGGACCCGTCTGGGTCCCTTTGGATCCGAAGGCGGTGACTCGCCTCGCTGAGACAATAGGGAAGAAGGGCTTACGATCGCCCGCTACACTCTCTGCACTGGAGGCGCTTCTGGCGCCGGGGCCCTTGCTTCCATATGACATAGAGGGCCTCATGCAGGTGGTACTTGAGCCGGCACAATTCATGTTATGGAAGGAAGAATGGTCGGTACAGCTCAGGGCCGTAGTCGCTATAGCGGCACACGACCCACAACACCCGGCGATTAAGGTGGAAAGTGGTATCTGGGAATCTGGCTGGTCTATTTTAGTATGGGGAAGGGGGTATGCCGCAGTAAAACATAAGAACTCTGGAAAAATTTTGTGGATCCCATCTAGAAAAGTTAAACCTGACGTAGGTGGTACAGGACAGGACATGATGGAGAAAGCTGAGAAATAATCAAGAACTGAGTGCTTTGTTTTTAGGCATGGCTGTTTGGAACTCATCAAGAAAAAACACAAAGCCCACGACCGAGGCCCAACTCAGGAAAGGAGACAGACAAAGAGCCACTGCTGGCATCGACGAGATCAATCTCTCCTGTGCTGTTATCTGTGTGTTTTCTACTATCTATAACTCTTTCTCCTGGGAAGGGCGTAAGAGACAGTGATTTATGGTATGGTCGTGAAGGGTATACTGGAATTATGGGACCAACTAATAATATAACCTTGCTGACAGTAGTGCTACATGATAATGGACCATACGACAGAAGTGAATGGGGATGGGATAATGTTACCCGAACTCCTCGAATTTGGGGGGAACCTGGGCAAAGTATAGAAGTAAAATGCTGGATGGTAAACGTATCCCGGCATGAGAAAGCCACTCAAATTTCAAAAATGGACATTACATCAGGAATGAAGGATCGTAAATCTTGTGTTACCGAAGAAGGAGATTGTCGATACAATTTCACCCTAACCCAACCTGCAATGATAACTTGCCTTTGGGCACGAGACACTTTAGAACGATCTTTTAAGTTTAAAGTGGATTTCTTTAATCAACGCACAACTGCTGTTCCACATGTAATGTATGTCACCACTAGGAGAGTGGAGAGCACTCTCTCCCCACAAATTTACCAAATTGGGCCATACGCTATTAAGAATACAGGTCAGCAGCAGGTGATGTTTAATCCGATGTGGTCTCTCAAGCGAGTAATGTTATTATTGCAAACTAATGTTTCAGTTATTAAACCAGCTTGTGCATCATTCTTAGGCACATCATATGCAGGATGGTCAGCATGGCTGCACCGACGGACATTTGATACAACCAAAAACACGTAGAGATGTTTCTGGTATTCTGGGAACAGGTTTAGGGGTTTTGAACGGTATAGACGCTGAAATGCTAATGAATAAGTTGAGTACTATTGCGAGTAATCTATACGCACTGCAACACCCTCTGCAATCTTCCCTGTCTGCTTTGGGGACAAGCCAGTGGCTTTTGTCAGATGTATTATCACAATGGGGAAGGACAGACAGGGAAGACCACCAGCTGATTGTTGATGCTCTTTCAGCAGCTCAAGGTAATACATCTTTAGCCCTCAGCTGCATCCAGGCCCAAATATGGATGCAATCCATGGCAGCAACAATCGTGAGAGAAGGTGAAGATGGCACTATGCCCACTGAAATTAGGAAAATGGTTTGGGATAATGCAAATAAGTTTGAAAGAATGTTTCAATCTTGGTGGCATTTAGTCAACTTCACTTACGACCCTGTTACTAATTATGTTGTAGCTTTTGTCTTGACAATAAGTAATGCTTCTGTATATACGGTACATCCAATCATAGCACTAGGCTTGAATCATAATGGGATCATATTGTATCCGACAGAGCATCGGGTATGGGCACTTCGAAAGGAAGGGAAATGGCAGACTGCGGATGTTAGCTCGTGTGCTGTACGGGAACAGCAAGGATTTGTTTGTGAAAGTAATACCCTTGAGACTCAAGATATCTGTCTTGACACCGAGCAAAATATCTGCCACTTTGAGGTCCAGCCTGGTATAAAGCCCAGAACAATGCTTGTATATATTGGAAAGGGATGTGCTTGCATGAGAACCCATTGTGATTCCATACAAATAGGGGATATGGCTGTAGATACCAGCAATCATTCAAATCTTTATGTTTGTAACTTTATTAGTGTTTTAGGATGTGATTTTAACTATACAGCTCCTGTTACATCGTACCAGCTACTACAGTCTAACTACACGTTGATCCAATACTTAGAGCCCGCACTGATTGGAATGAATCTCGCTTTGGTGAGGAAGCTTCTGCAACATGATGACCTGCACCGACTGCTAAATCGCATCAGAGATAATGGACAGAAAACTTTGATCACTGTTCTCCATGATATGGAAGAGATACATCGTGTCCTAGAGAGAATAAAGAAGGACGGTGAACATCACTGGTGGGAAGTTCTTTTTGGATGGTCCCCCACGGCAACGGGGATATTTAACTCCATACTGCACCCAGTTGTATTTGTGTTAGGTTTAGTATTATTATGCTCAGTTCTTATAGTTATATTATATGTAAAGACGTGGCGCTTGCTGAGACGAGTGTCCCGACTTGATTCAGTATTATCTAAGGATGCACTACATCGCCTCTTGTAAGATTCATTTTAAGGCCAGTAGGCTGCTGGACTCTGTGATAAACAATCAACGCCTGGAATACCATAGGCTTCTCAAAAGATTGTAACCGGGTTTGCATACGCGTTGTTACAGGCATGTTTAACTCTGTTTAACTCTATTTTGTATTCAATTATAGTTGTATTAGGTCTAACATTAATACGCTTTATGCTTATAGTCATATTATATATAGATATATAGGTATATTACAGATGTAAGTATAGTGTGTGCTGAGACAAATGACTCATATGGCAAATGCCAATATGAAGGAATCAGCGTCGAGAATGCAATATATGGCTTTATATAGAACTCACGTTTAAGACATTAGGATTATTAGGTTTATAGGTTATAAGGTTATTAGGGTAAGATTATTTGGCGAATTGCAATGTAACGGGGCAAAAGGCTTAACCGAGAGGACAATGGCATGTATAGGCGCAATGCGGGGATTTCGGGGTGTACGCGGTTAGGGTCCTCTCGAGTTGTAGTAGATTTGCTTGAGCTTAGGGAGGGGGAGATGTAGTTAACAAAATACGCAAGTTAGAGATGTAGTCAACAAATACGCAGAGCGGGGGCTGTCAAGGTCACCAGGCGTAACCAGGCGTAATCTGTGTGGGCCCCTTGCGTGGTCAGCTAATATGTGAAAGGGGGGCTGTAACAGTCATCAGCCTCTGCGGGGGCTCCTTGACTCATAAGAAAACCATGATGAGACATGACAAGACAAGACATGCCACATGTCTATTGGACACAGATAACCGTAGCAAGGGTGATTGGTAGCACTGTGATATACGGGACAACTATAAGAAGAGTGTGTTGCTTGCAATAAACGCCATTTGCCGCTCAACACATTGGTGTCATAAAGCGTGTGATTTGGCCGGGGCTGTCTGAGCACTTCACGACGGGACATTATTCAGAGGTTGCCGAAGCAAAGGCAACAGGCTCTGCGCCAAGATACGTGGATCCCTGCCGTCTCCTGTTTCACACGCTCGCTCAGGTCCTTTGGGGATTGGTGTCGCTTGTCCCTCGTGCTCACGTTGCTGTCACCGGGTGTTCTTCCTTTGCCCATGCTCGGCTCTGCTCAGTGCTGATGGGATGTCAGTGCCACCTGCTGCTCTCCATGAACTGCAGGTTCAATTCCTTTTGGCTTCCACAGCATTTGCTACTCTTTTGTTCTGTCCCACTTCTCTTTTTTCCATGTTGCCTGCGGCCGCCTCACTGCAGTTCCCAGGACGCCAGTGCACACTTCGAACCAAGTGAGAAGCAAAAGAAGAGGTAGGCTCCTGAACAGGCTGCTGCTGAGTGCTGTCCTTGACCTGGGGTTTGTACAATGACCAGCCTTTGTTGCTAAGCCACGTTGTTCAGTAGTGCGAGTGAAGCTTTCTTCTTTCCTTCTTTCTAGGCTTGGCGACTCCTGCAGCAGATGCAGCAGGCATTTTGGGCTGCCCAAGCTTCTGCAGTGAACGTGTCCTGTTCCTGGTAAAGGTGTGGGCGTTCCTGGACGTGAAGATATCTTCATGCGTTTCCGAAGTGCCCAGTCCCCCACCTGATACTGTTGGCCTTTGGGGCTCCCCTGAGTTGCTGCATTGGCAGCAGATAACTGCTGGTTCGACTGCCTTAAGAGTTGTCAGGAAAGATGTCTTCTGCAAAACCCCTGAGCTACCAACTGCCAAGGAAGTTGGTATGTTCCCAGGAATGACAGGAAGCAGACCATGGATGCGCAGCTACGGGAAGTTGGTAAAGCCCAATCTCCTCTATCTTTCCCTTTTCCATCCCAATTTCCTTCCCGTCCCCATTCCGCTTTATCCCCGCCTTTGCCCCGCCTTTGCCCCGCCTTTGCCCCGCCTTTGCCCCGTTTCTCTTCACGTTCCCCTCTTCCCTTTTCCCTCTTCCCTTTCCTTGTCCTCAGGTCCCGTTTTTTCCTTCAAGGTCCCCTTTTTTCTGTCCATTCCCCCCTTTTATCTCCCCTTTTACGCCCCCTTTTCCCCCTGCTCTCCTCCATTCTCCTTTTCCCTTGCTCTCCTCTCTACTTTCCTATTCCTCGTCTCTTTTTCTTTTTACCCCCCCCTCAATCTCCTTTTCCCCTTTCCCCCCTTGTCTTCCTTTCCCCTTTTCCTTTTTTTCTCTCCTCTTTTTCCCCCCATTCTTCTTCTTTTTGCCCCCATCCCCACTTCCCCTTTCACCCCCTTTACCCCTTTTCCACCCCATCTCCCTTTTTGCCACATCCCCCTTTTCCCATTTTCCTTTTCCCCTCCTCGTACCCATGCCTTTTCCCCTCCTCGTACCCATTTCTTTTTCCTCCCCCAATAGTCCCCTTTTCTTCCCAAAGCCGATACCACTCGCAGTGTGATGGTGGCTCCTGCGAGCAGCAGAGCACCGAGCAACAGCGCTACATCTTGGCTCCCCCATTGCCCGCTGCTGAGCTCTTCCTGCCCTGGCTCCTCACTGGCTGAGCGCTGCAGTTTTCCCTTTTTGGCGACGCTTCACCACTCGCACAAACAGCCAGCAGATGCAGATCGTTACCACCCAAACACACGCAGGCCTTCATTGCTTCATTGCTTTCTCACCACTGCTCTCTTAACCAGCGTGCGGTCGGAACTTGCGGCTCTCAGGTTTACAGCATCAACACAGACACAGCCTCTGAATTGCTTCATTCCCCCCTGCCATTCTTGCCCTTCCCGCTGCTCGTCGTTCTGCTCATCCGGCCGATTTTCCGCAGCGCTGAGCTCGGCAGGAGGACAGAGGGGAGCAGCTGGGAGCCTCACAGGCTCCTCGCGTTCCCACGCAGCGGGACAGCACTCCTGCGTGCGACAGCCCTGATTCCTCCCTCATTCCCTTCTCCATTTTTCCTCCCTCGTCCCCCTTTTCCTTTTGTCCTTCTCATGCACTTCCTACTATCCCGCCTTCTCCCTGCCTTCCCTCTTCTCTTCTTGCACTCTTTGACTCCTTTTTCTCCCCCCAGCCTTATTTCTCTTCACATTCTCCTGTTCTTTTTTCCCCTTTCCTCTTCTTCATCCCCAGCTCCGCTTCCCCCCCACCTCACGTCCCCTTTCTTCTGTCCCTGTACCCCATTTTTCCCTTTTTTTCTTTCCCCACACCGTTTTTCTCTTGTTTTTCTCTGCTGTCCCCTATTGCGTTTTTCCACTTGCCCCTCTCTCCTTTCTTCCCCCTCATCCTGTTACAGAAGAGACTGAAGGAATGATGGACAAGCTGGTGCAGGATGGCAGCAGCAGGGTGGAAGCCCAGGTGGGTGCGATGAAGCCGGGGGTGGGATTGGGTAGAGCCAGAGCCCAGCCTGAGCTCATGTAAGGTCTGGGAATCCCAGGGCTCAGATGTGTGCCTGGGCTTCTGGGGTCAGTGAGGTTAGGTGAGCAGTGAGGTTTGGGAGGGACCGACTTGTTGGCCTTGAGATTGATGCCCAGCTCCTTGCTCGTCGCAGTCTGTTTGGCTTGAGGTTCCGGACACGGCTTGCTCTTCTAAGCAGCGTGAGGACTGCGAGAAAGACTTTGTTGGATGCAGCAGGAAAGCACAGCCGCTGGTGGATGCCAGTGTCCGCTCCTGAGGCTCTGCGCCAAGGTACGTGGATCCTTGCCGTCTCCTGTTTCACACGCTCGCTCAGGTCCTTTGGGGCTTGGTGTCGCTTGTCCCTCGTGCTCCCGTTGCTGTCACCGGGTGTTGTTCCTTTCCCCATGCTCAGTCAGCTCTGATGGGATGCCAGTGCTACCTGCTGCTCTTAAGAAAAGGTAGGTTTGATTTCTTTTGGTTTCCGTAGCATTTGCTACACTTTCATTCTGTCTTTCTTCTTTTTTTTTTTTTTTTCTTTTTGCTCTCAATAAATGGCAGGTTCAATTCATTTTGGCTCCTGTAGTATTTGCTACACGTGTGTTCTGTTTCTCTTCTCTTTTTTCCATGTTGCCTGGCGGTGCCTCGCTGGAATTCCCACGACCCCCAGGCACACTTGTGACCAAGTGAGGTGCCAAAAACAGTGGTGTCTCCTAAACAGGCTTCTGCTGAGTGCTGTCCTCGTCTTGGGGTTTGTCCAATGCCCACCTTTCTTTTCTAGCCCACTTTGTTGAGGACGGCGTGTGAGGCTTTCTTCTTTCTTTGTAGGATTGGCGACTCCACCACCAGAAGTAGCAGGCATTTTGGGATGTCCAAGGTTCCGCAGTGAACGTGTCCTGTTCCTGGTCAAGGTGTGGGCGTTCCTGGACACGAAGGTATCTCTCTTCATGCCTTGCCCATGTGCCCAGTCCCCCACCAGATGCTGTTTGCCTTTTGGCCCCCCTGATTTGCTGCACTGCTGCGCCCTGATCCTTGCAGAGGGGTAAGTGACACCTTTGTCCCTTCCGGAAAGCGCTCTCCACTTTCCTCTCGTTGGTCATCGGCAGCACCGTCCCTCTCTCACCAGGCTCTCATTGGTCACCGGCAGCGCCGTCCCGCCCTCACCAGCCTATGATTGGTCATCGGCAGCGCCGTGCCGCCCGTCCAGCGTCTCATTGGTCATCGGCAGCGCTGTCCCACCCTCATGTGCCTCTCATTGGCCATCGGCAGCGCAGTCCCGCCCTCGCCAGTCTGTGATTGGTCGCCGGCAGCGCCGTCCGGCTCCTGTCAGCCTGTGATTGGTCACCGACAGCGCCGTCCCACCCCCTTGTGCCTATTATCGGTCATCGGCAGCGCCGTCCTGCCCCCGCCAACATCTCATTGGTCATCGGCAGCGCCATCCCGCTCCTCCAGTGTCTCATTGGTCATCTGCAGCGTGGTCCCGCTCCCATGTGCATCTCACTGGTCACCGGCAGCGCCGTCCTGCCCCCGCCAACATCTCATTGGTCATCAGCAGCGCCATCCTGCCCTCGTCAGCCTGTGATTGGTCATCGGCAGCGCGGTTCCGCCCTCACCAGCCTGTGATTGGTCATCGGCAGTGCTGTCCTGCCCTCATGTGCCTCTCATTGGTGATCGTCAGCACCGTCCCCGACCCTTGTGCCTATTATCCGTCATCTGCAGCGCCGTCCCGCTTCT